AAAAAAAAAAAAAAAAAAAAAAAAGCCTTTGGGTGAATTGGAATTGTGTTACAGGGTGGGGGGGTGTCTGGCCTGCGCCCCGGCTCTGGTAACGCTGCGCTGGGAATTTGATCGGTCCTGGGGCGCGGCGGCGGGTTGGGAGTTCGGAGGAAGGAGCCGGGGCAGCCGCTGTCTTCGGCGTCTTGTCTGATCTCTCCTCTTGCCGGGCTCCGGGTCTGGGGCGCAGGGTTGGGCGCTGAGGGCTCCGGCTCTGGGGATGCTGGCGGGGTTTTTAATCTGCGGGCTGGGCGGCGCGAGCGAAGAAAGCAAGACTCGTTTATCGGGAGGTTTTATTTGGGGACAAAGACCCCCCACCCCCCCAAAATGGGTTGGCAAATCGCTTCCCGGAGCGTGGGCTTTGGGAGTGCTGCGGCGCGACGCTCTGGGGGGGCTTTGGCTGAAGCCGATCCCCGGCTCTGGGACGAAGCGAGGGCTCTCGCAGTGAAAACTTTTCTCCTCTAAAGAAATTTTTCTCGCTGCTTCTAATCGAAGGGACTGGATTTCCCTCGCCGGGGCCTTGTCCCGGTGCTTTGGAAATGGCTTTTTTCTTAAATGTCATTATCTGGACAGGCTTGAAGCTGTAGGTGTGATTTGTTTTTTTTTTTAAATTTATTTTTCTTCAAGTGACTCTTTTCTTAAATGTCATTATCTAGACATGCTGTAGGTGTGGGTTGTTTTGTTTTGTTTTTTTTTTTTTTAATTTATTATTCTTCAATCCGCCGCTACCGGTGCGTGGTTTTGAGAAGGGTGTTTTTCTATTCCACAGTTGTCAGTCGAGGTCAATAATCTCTGTGTAATCACCGGTCTCTGAAATCCTCTTAATGAAACCGAAACCCTGGTCCTCCGGAATGGAGGTGGAGAGCAAGAATCTGCCCCCCACCCCGTTAGACTCCTGGCATGTAACTGCTTGAGCTCTGCCTTTTTTTTTTTCTTTTTTTTCTTTTTTTTTTTTTTTTCTGAAATCCCAAGCGAAGTGCTTGGTGGATAAGCCCAGCTTCCCCTGTCTCTGCAGGAGTACACCTGCCCGAGATGTGAATCCGGTTTTATCGAAGAAGTCACAGACGATTCCAGGTAACGTACACGGCGATGCGCTGCTCACTTTGCCACGCGCTTGACGTTTCTTCTGGGTTTATACGGGGCCTGGTGTAAAGCCTCTAGCAAGTAAAGAATTCAGAAGAAAATCTCATGTATCGGCGTGAATTTGGACTTAATGCTGGATGAAACTGGAAGTACAAGTGGCCGTCGGTCTGTGCTGGAGCCACGTGAAGGGGTTTGGGGAAGATTCCCAGGAAGGTGGGAGCTGTGAGTTAAGGCTCTACAGGGTCCCGTGAACAAAAGCTCTTACAGGTTTTTGGTCTATTAGAGCGAAAAGCATGATTTTCTTCTTTTTTTTTCTAGGAATCAAGCTTGTATCCCAGTGACTCACAGTCCCGTTCTTTTTCCCTCCGTCGGCCCTAGCTCAGCCTCCCGACCACCTCTCTGCTCTCACAGCTCAGTTCGGAGGAGAGACAGAAAAACCTTTTTCTCTCTGGGAGCACCAGTTTGGTCACTGGTCACCCAGCAGAGCGCGGTGCTGCATCCAAAATGATGCCTGTTCAGCACTTACTTATATCCAGTCTTGAGTAACTGCTGAGAAAACTGCTTTCTTTGGGGTGAGGGTAGGCGAGATGAAAGGGTGATTACGTGACCCTTCGCGACCTGAGACTTCCCACGAAAGGAATCTGGGGCCGGGTGTCACTGGGGGGATGACTTGATGTCACGCTACGTCCCTTTTTTTAAATCTAAACGTGTACTTGTCACTTAAGGCGAGACTGGAGGGCTCCTCTGGGGCGCTTAGCACGCGATCCCCTTTGCAGAGTGATGATGCTCCGTCTCGGACGCTTCCTCTTCGGAGGCTGCTCCAGAGTGTGGACGGTTAGAAACCACGTTTCTTCCACGGTCAGGTTGTACCAGTGCGCTGGCACGGAAACAAACCTTTTAATAGTCCTTTGCTACCCCTAGGACTGATTCCGGCAGGCAGGATGTTCGCTCATCCCTTTCTCTCTCAGACCACACGGGGTCTGTCTTGCTCCCATCGGTGTTTAACCCTGGAACAGGAGCTGATTCCAGAGGGTGACCTGCTCTCACTCATCTCTTTTTTTTTTTTTTTTCCCTCCAGTTTTCTAGATGGCAGCGGCATAGACGACAGCCCATCCACACAGTTTGCAGAGGTGAGTTTTGCCCATCTTGCTTTGTTGTGTGTTGGGTTTTTTTTTTTTGTTTAAAACTGTTGCCGCAAAGAGGTTTTCGGCCTCAGCTCCGGCTGCGGTTACGCCAAGGCATCTTCACACGTTGCCTTGCAAAAAAAAAAAAGACCTTCCTAAGAGTTTTCAGGAATTTTGAGGAGACTGTTGACGTTGCCGGGGTTGAGACCTGCCAGAGATGTGCTCACTGGGCAGGGCAGGAAGAGAAGATGCTAGAAAGACGCGCTGGCCCCTGGTGTCGGTGACGCTCGGCCAGGCAGGGCGGGTGTTGCCTGACTGCCCTTTCCTCCCTGCTCATCGCTGCTCCCAGTTTTACCAGAAACGCAAGTGTCTAAAAAGCCCCAACTCCTCCTAAAATCCCTGTCTCGTAATTCCGTTGCGTGGCCCTTGGAGCGGGGGCTGCTGGGCAGCGAGGGCTGGAAGAGTCTTTTCTTACCCCGTTACCTAAAGGCTCAAACGGGCAGGGCGAGCCCTTTCTCAGGGCTCTGTTTCCCTTCAGGAGTTCAGCTGAGCCGTGTAAAACCAAAATAAAATTTCTGAGCGGCTCCTCCGCCAGCAGGCCTTCCTCAGAGGTCGGGTATTTTTTTTTTTAATTTCCTCGGTTCTTGAGGAGTTTTAACTGTTTCTCAGCCCTGCCAGGAGGTCGCCTCGGGGTCTTTGAGTCCCAGCTCGTTGGCCAGGGTAGATCTGGGGGGGGGTCCGTGGCGTTGCTGAGCTCCTTCGGGTGCTCCCTCGGTGCCAGAAGCGGGGTCACCCTGAAATTCCGGCTTTGTGCTTCGGATCCCGTGTGCTTCCACTTTCCCCGCGTGGGGTTGCTTTGCCTCTCCCCTCCTCCCTTCCTCCCCGTTTTGTCTCCTGAACAAAACTGTCGCCGCATCCCAGAACCGCCCGTGTTCTGGCCAGATAAAGCCGTCTCGGCCAGATAAAGCCGTCTCCTCTCGCGGCCCATGCGCCGGTTCACAAAGAGCTTTGGGATGCCTCCGCATGAAAGGCGCTGTGTAAATTTAAATGCCTTTTAGGATTCATAATAAATGAAAGTCTTCTCTCAGCAGGGTGGCCGCGGGCAGGCAGAGCTCTGTCTTGCTCACGAGCAGCAGGAGAACAAGCAAAGCTCTTGTCCGCGGGGTATTAATTCAGAGAACAGGTCACAAACTTGACTTCTGCCTTTCCTCCGATACCAAATCGAACCAGGCAACGCGAGAGACTTTTCAAGTGAGCTAATTTGGTGTGAAGTGGAAACGAAGCCGCTCTGATCGTCTCATAACACATGACGAGGGGCTGGTGGAAATAAGAAAAGAACAACCCCGGTGTTACGCTCCGTAGCGTTTGAATTCCCGCAGTAAATCCGAGGACGCTGCTCCTTCCGTAGCCCTTTGGCAGCGCAGAGCCCGGCCTGGGCACGTCGGGTGTCAGCAGCCGCTTGCCCCCGCGTGGTTTCTTCTCTCATGCTCCTTGTTTTCTCGTTCTCTGCGAATTTTTTTTTTTTTTTTTCTTGCATAAACCCGCACCGTAAATCTTCCGTGCCCTCCTCAGCTGTTAGTTTAATCCGCGGGCGATCCGGATTGCGGAAGGAATAAAACCAAAGGGGTTTTCCAGGAGAGGGTCGCTGAAGGGGGGTGGCTCTCAGCTCCGGCTCCGGCTTCACTTTGGGCCACGTCCTTTTTGTCACCCAGGGCTGTGAGGACCCAGAGCCTGTGGGTGGGGGGACCTGGGTGCCCAACACTATCTCCCCTCAACTCTCCTTGGAGGGAGAGACCGACCCTCGCGGTGCCCTGGGGTGCCTTAACAAAACAGATGTTGGGATCTGTAGAGAGCAGGAAAGAGCTGACGCGTTGGTCTTCCCGGGGGTGGTACATCTGATTAGTTTAGGCTATAATTAAGCGTTTTTTGCCAGACTTTTTTTTTCTGGGAGCCATGGTAACCGCAGGAATTTGTTCAGTTGCTTCTGTCGAGGTGGACTTCCCCGCCTCCGTGTGGGGCTCAGTGACGGAGCCCTGTGTGGTTTGTGTCTCCCCTTTTCTCCCCGCAGCTTTGGGACCATTTGGACCACACAATGTTCTTTCCCGACTTCAGACCCTTTCTGAGTAGCAGCTCACTGGATCAAGACAGCAGGGACAACGAAAGGGGCCACCAAGCCCACGCCGACCTCTGGGGACCAAGCCGACCCCCGCGATTGCCCATGACGCGGAGGTACCGATCCCGGGGCAGCTCACGCCCCGACAGATCCCCTGCCATCGAAGGGTGAGTGACTCCATTTACCCCCTGCGAGTGGCTCCCAACCCACCACCAGTGGAAAGAAAAAAAAAAAATTTAAAAATGTAGGATCTCGGGGAGAAACCTGCTAAAATGGGATCCTCGCACCTCGAAAATTTTCACCTCGACCCTTTGCCCCCCACCTCGGTACGAATCGAAGGTGCGTGGTGGGAGAGGTGGGTTTTGCCTGTGACGGTGCCAACTCTCGCCACAGGAAGACGAGTCAGTGCTTGGGAAACTCAGCGATTTCCTCTCCCAGCCCTCCCACACTCGGCTGAGTTAGCATCCCGCCTTCCTCCGGGCCGTGCCCGGTTTACCTCGACGCGAGTCTCGCGACAACACGGCCACCGTTGATCGTGTTTTGTTGCCCGTTCTTGCTAAACCACCGCTCAACTTGTTCTTTTTTTTTTTTTTTTTTTTTTTTTTTCTTTTCCAATTCTTCCCTCTTTAGAATAATCCAGCAGATCTTTGCAGGGTTTTTTGCAAACTCGGCGATTCCTGGCTCCCAACACCCTTTTTCCTGGTGAGTAGCGAGCGTGGTTTAGACCGTGGCTTTGCTCACGGTGATCCACACCAGTAAAGAGCTGTGATCTGGTGCCTGGGAGCTCCGTCTCCCCGCTGTGGCTTCTCTGGGAGGATTGTGCAACCCTTGGGGCCGCTCTGGGGTGGGTGAAACAGCTTCCCTGACTCTCCGCTCCCGTCTGCAGGAGC